TGAATACTTTCCGTACCCACTGTGTATATATATATATATATAATTCATTCATTAAGGCAAAGTAGATCTACATGTTTGGCATTATGTCACTGCACATGTCAAATGTTGACCTAGGATTGGTCCAGCAGAAAACAGAGAAAACATTGATACAAACATCTGAAGGTATGTTCTGAGGTTTCAGCATTGGCCCTAAGAATGTAGCCCTCTATTCATGTGATTGCTTGATCATAGTCAGAAAAATTACTGAGGAATTTGAGAATATGAGCGAGCTTGCAAAAAAGAATTTGATCTCCATTTAAGGGGGGGCTTAGGTCTGTTTCTGGATAGAGCTAATAGGAGTCTTGTGGAATGGCTTAAAGTGTTTAATATCTGAAGACGGATCTTATTTGACTGTCATATAGAAGGTGAAAGACCCTTCAACCTCTGCAGTTCCTATGGAATCATCTCCTGCAAATTTAACACATTGAGAGTCAGTAACATTTGATGTTTAATGTGACCTAGACTATTTATTTAGCACTCAAAATGTGTCCATACATCTATATGCACAAACCCCTACCATCGACACATAACTATGACTCAATAAATATTTTGCAAGGATTATGCAGGACTGTTTTGTTTTTAGCAAAAAAGGAAAAGTAATACAACAGGACATTATATAGGAACTCTGTTCATCCAACTAGACAAATATATGCATGTTTACACAGGAACCTGAATATTGTATCCGATATCCTTGAATCTGTCCAAGAATCCTGAGGAGAGGGCTTCTCACTGCATGTTGGGCATAATACAAGCATGCAAAGACACAGCTGTCAGTCAGCTGATCATTGGTGGGGTGATTCCTGATATGACTTCCCTTTAGTTTTTTTCCCTTTTACTCCTTATAAAAAAATCTGATATCCCAAGTAATATAGATAAACAATACAAAGAGAACCGCGATGAGTTACTTGGTATTATACTTTCCGTGAAAACACCCTGAAAAGACCAACCAGAGGTTCTGAGGGAAACCATATGAAGATATTCTGTGCTTGTTGTTGGCTGTTCCATCTGTTTCTCATAGCAAGTCCTGTTTAATCACACAGCCAGTTTTCAAAATGAATTCTGCTTCTGTTTTAGAAGGTTCATAGCATCATCTAAGCTCAAAACTCTCTGGCCTCCTCAAACTGTTTGTAGTAGTCCTCATCCTGAGGGTTCTCTGCACATTTCTGTCCGTTATTAGGAGGGCGAGCCTGGTTGTAGCGGCTCCAGTCACCCTTGCAGATGATCCATGGAAGGATGTCCACTTTATAGTGCAGGTCAGCAGAGAACTCTGTGCTTATGAGGTTGGGCGTTCCGGCCCCTTTGCCTCGTGTGATGAGCTTCATGCTGTCATCATAGCAGCAGTGCTGGGCCGCCAATGTGGTGGATTCCAGCGTTAGCATGGAGCGGATGCAATAGCGAGCAGTGGGTTTGTAGATCTCCAGCTTCTCCTTTGGTCCGCTGGCGTCCTTCCAGCGGAAGTTGCGCCTTGTGGTGTTGTCGTGGACGTCTGTGGCGCTGTAGGCCACCTCTGTTGGGTAAAAGCAGGGGCAACTGGGTAGGTCGTTGGCCACTTTGCTCATGTATTTCTTGAGGAACTCGCTCTTGCAGTTCATCCAACGTTCACAACTGTCTGTATCTGAGGAGGAGTAACCAACATCTCAATCAGAATCACATATTTAAAGTAATGTTTAAATGTGTGACTAACACTTTTCATGTCTCTAAAATCTACTGTCGATGGCTAGGTATGAAAGGAATTTTAATTCCGTAATAGTTCCGATGATTATTTGCTTAGTACTGTTGAAGACATATTTTGAAAAACTACAGTAATTGACTGAATATTAAATAAAATACTAAACAAAATTTTATATATGAGATTAATTTTTATAAATTAAATATTTTAGTCTTCTTAAATTCATGTGTTTGATTTACTAAAAAGAACTTGTTCATAAAGGCCAAAGTATACTTAGTTTTTTTATGCGTATGCGAGGGTCCGCCTACAGTGCGCATGAAGCTTATTTCATTACCAGAATAGTATACTGTACGCGCACCATCCATTAAAAAAATTTTTTTTTTAAATACGGGCAGGTCACACATGCGTATTGACGTGGTTTTGCACTAATCAGTTGTTCCACAAGGTGGCAGAACTGGCCTGGGCTGTTGTTTCACAGTAGAAAACTAAAGCAAAGAAACAGAACAACAGCAACAACAAAATAGCGGAGACTGCATTGACGGACGGCCGCATTGACAAGGATTATAAGATAGCAGCAACTTCAGTTTAAAAGAGTACAAAGACAAAGTTGAAACTCTCTAGAGCGCATGTGTCGACTGCCTGCATTCGAGTACACCTCAAACCGCTAGCGTATGCATACAAAAACGAAGTATGTTTTGTGCTTAAAGTGCCCCTATAATGCCATTTTGAAAATTGCCTTTCATGCATGTGTAATGTAGCTGTATGTGAATGTAAGCTATCTGCAAAGTTGTGATGCCAACAGTGCACGGTAAATAATGTTATCGTCTCAAAAAAATAAATCGACTCTGAATCACCTAAACGAGTCATCAGGAATTCGAATCCCAATTACGTAAGGGCTACAATTCACTGGGTAACACATTTTCATAATACCCGCCTATGTTCTACGTTGGCCAGCCGCAAACAACTTGACCCACGCTCAAAACAATGTAGCATTTCCATGTGGTTAACATCATGTCGAGAAGACGCTTTGCCCTACGATGTGAAAGTATATTTTTTTTACTTTCACTTCCGAATAATGAGGCTGCAAAGAATCAGTGGCTGGCATTCATTTTTTCAACGATACCACAGCAGTTCAGTCCAGAGGTTTTCACCTTCGCTTGGCATTCTGATACAGTCCCCACATGTTCACCTAAATAAATTACAACAATGACACTGCAATCTAGTCTTATAAACACCACAAACTGCTCCAGCCGTGCCTGCGAATCAGTGTCAGTTTGATCAACTAGACGTTTCATCATCACACTCAGGCTTGAATTTGTAAGGTAAAATCAATACCATCTTTTCTCTCTATACATTCTCTCTGAAACTGTCATTCATTTATGGCAATGGACGTTTCGTTTCTGACAAGCGGTAGTCCAAAACAAAGGACTATGCCATCTGACCAATTAGAGCAGAGTTGGCTCACGGAAAGGAGGGGTTTAGAGAGACTGAATCTTAGAACTG